TTTTTGTGTTAAAACATGGTGCTTTGCAGCACATCTTGCCTAGCTATATCCCTCCATGGGTATAACCTTATCATTGAGTTGCCACTAGTTGTGTTTCCGCGTCATCGGAATCATCTTTGGTCTCAATGGTGGTGTGGGGGGTCGAGTCGGGATATTCTTACAGCTCCTCTTTCCTTTGGATACACTTGTGAAGAGTCATATCTTTCGATTCATGATCCTAAATCGCCAGCTATTAGTAGCCTTAGGATTTGAGTATAGAATCTGTATAGATGATCTTCAGGGTGGGCTAGTGTTAAGGAGTGTTGCTGTATGGCACAGATAGGGTACACAGTCGGTCTAGATTAAGATGGGGGACGTCAGGAGGTATACCCTCTTAGGACGTACCCCATCGGGACTTAGCTATCTGCGTGCCCCCAGGTTGAGGGCAATCCGCCTCACCTCAGACCTGTAGCAGACCCGCTTCTGCAATAACAAGCAACCTTCCCATCTCAACGTGCTCGTGGACAAGAGTGTCTACGGCAGAATCTACATCTACTACATCTAGGAGGCAAGCCACCGTCGGGCGGGCATTCCTCTAAACCTTGCCGATCGTAGGAGTTGGATCCGAAGGGTGGGCTTGCTCTCTCTCTCATGTTTCGCATGCCTTAGCGGTCCGACCATTGACCGCGCGTCCTCAACAGGACGGAGCATTGTTCACACAGGATAAACGATTCCTGCCTACTTTGCGAAAATGGTGTCTCAAATTTTTTTCCCTCGCCTATCTGTCCTATCGATATCACTTCCCCCGCCTTTTCGACCCACCTCCAATGCCCCCGTACAGCTACCGTCTTCTCCTATTAGCTATTCCATGCCTCAAACATCTCTCTGCACCTATTCCTCCTACTTTTTCCCAGCTCAGCCATGTTCAGTTCCCTTTCCTTCTGATACAACGAACATTCCGCAAGTACGTCAACGTAGTCTTTGCACTCAGAGCCGCATTCATTCACATCTGGATTTATGGTCTTCATCGTCTAACTTCCTACTTCCTGTATCTTCGTCTACGTTCTCGAAGGCCAATGCCCCCTGTCCTAAATTTGACCTTCAGCTTCACCCCTGCATCTATTGGTCCATGTACAGGTATATGTTCCTTGAATCTTTCCTTCTTTCATCATTCCGTACATGTCCAGACCCTCCGTGTCCTTAGTTTATTTGTTTTGATTCTTTCCTTTTTTTTTTGGCAAAATCGAGATATCGTCTCCTTGAACCCCGCTAGGCCTTCCGATTCAGTGTATCACCGTCAATTTCGAACACCTTCCATGCGTCATCTGCAACATTGACCCACTCCGTAGGTTGGTACACGAATTCTTCTTGTTTGTCCACTTCGCCTCTCAAGCTATTGTCGGCGACCTATCCTCTCCCATACCGTCCATGCGGTGTTAGACGTACTCACAGCATCGACAGATTATTGCAAGCAAGAAATTTCCGAGCAGATAGAGCGGGGAGTTTGGGGGTTCAGCAGTTGCTTTGGATTAGATTTTGATGGTATCAAATTTGCCTTCACATGTGTCTACAACGGATATGGTGATTGTGCGTTGTGGTTTCTCACTTGTTTTTTTTCCTTCTTTTTCCTCCTCCTTCCTGTGTAAAATCAAGTCCTTTTTCCCCGGCGATCACGCTACCACGGCTATCACGCCACGACTTCCACGCCAATCCTGGGTATCACGCCACCGGCTATCACGCCTTCCGGACATCGACGTCCTTACTTTTACCTTTACACCACGACTAGCACGCCACCAGGCTTTCACGCCACATCCAGATACCATACCCGAGCTATCACGCTCCATCTCAAAGTAGAAGGCTGTCACGCCCATCGTAGTTCCTACACTGTACCGTTTGCGGCTTCCGCGCCGCTGGCTCTTTTATTTCCCAACCAAGGGACCCCGCGCGCCAAGGCACCGACGCACAAAGCTACTCAACACGCTAGCGTAACGATCAAGAGAGTGGCCGCCGTGTCTAAGCGCGCAACATGCCGGACGGAGACGGACGACAACCTCCGGGGGGATCAGGTCAGGCTGTCCCTCCCCCCGGGGAAGGCGTCGCGGACGGAGGAGGGAGCGATTCTTTCTTCGTCAACGATGCACGAGACTGAGGGGGTGCGCGAGCGGCAGGAGGGGAAGATCAGCGCGACACGATGCGTGAGCTGGTTGACCTCTTCAAGCAGGCCTTCGCGACATCAACTCATGACCAGGAGCACCGTGCCCACTCAGGCACGTCCAGCAACCAGATTATAGAGCTGAAGCAGAGAGACAAGATAGATGTACCAGCATGGAGTGATGACTATCTGAAGCACAGATCGATCAAAGTTGCATCGCGAGTGTTCACGAGTGCTTCTGAAGCGTGGCTGGAGAGTGAGGGACTTGCTGGTGTGATGAGGAGTTCAGAGGTCCCTGTTGGTGCAGCTGGTGTGGATTTGAACTGGTTGAGCAGCACGTTCGGAGTGGAGAGAGTGAAGCAATCCAGGAAGATTTGGACTTTTATGCTCGCTATGATCACAGCACAACCCGTACAAGCCCAAATCTTGGCATCAGAGTCACTTCAAGCAGGGTACCGTGTGTGTCTCCAGCAATACAGCTAAGACAAGAGTCAGGAGCGACAAACTCTTGACGACGCATGGAACTCAATAGACCAGAGGCAAGGAGAGAGTCTTATGGACTATTACGGTAGGGCAGTTGCGCTGTGGATGAGACTTCGATCGTATGGTGATAACAGGGATGAAAAGTCGATGTGCAGGCACATAGTTCGGGGATTTCTCCCAGGGTTTGAGAAAACTAAAGACCGGCTTCTGTTTGATTCGACGTTGTCGAGGGCTACAATGCAGGAGATACTGAGGTTGGAAGAGCACGAGCTGAGGTACGAGCGGAGAGCTGGAGAGGGGAAGGAAGAGATGAGGCACGCCCTCGTCGCTGCCGGCGTGGGCCGGGGCGGCGGGGCGGGGAAACCAGCCGCTGCAGGATCGGAGCGAGGCGGACATCGACTCCAGCAACCACAGGGGTCGGTCCAGCCACATCAGCAGCAGCCATCGCACTTCTGCCAGCTCCACGGCCCCAACAGCACCCACGAGACCTCCGAATGTCACAAGTTACGCCACGAATTCCTCACCCACTGCAACGAGTTCTGCGCGTACATGAGCGGGAGGCGGAAGGCCCAGGGGTCGGTTTTCCCTTGAGGCGGAGCTCAAGACTCGGGGCGGATGGTTGGTGGCCCATCTCGACAGCAGCCGTACCAAAACGAACAAGGTGCGGGCTGGAGTCGGAGCCACTCTCCAGCGCTGCCGGGACCGCCGCGTGGGCCAGGATCCGGAGCTGGAGGACAACTGCAGGGGCGCAACTCTGGGGGGCGTGGGTATGGTGGATACGGTCAGTCCCCCCCGGAGAGCCGAGGTCGTCAGGTGGGCGGCCGTGGTGGTAATTATCCGCCGCCCAACGTTCCTCCCGCGCAGATTGCCAACGTTCCGCGGCCCTATTTTCTGGCTCATTTCGCCATCGGAGGTGGAGAACCATTAGGCGGCGACATCACCTCGGGATGGGAAGCCACGTCGGCGCCCGNACAACTGCAGGGGCGCAACTCTGGGGGGCGTGGGTATGGTGGATACGGTCAGTCCCCCCCGGAGAGCCGAGGTCGTCAGGTGGGCGGCCGTGGTGGTAATTATCCGCCGCCCAACGTTCCTCCCGCGCAGATTGCCAACGTTCCGCGGCCCTATTTTCTGGCTCATTTCGCCATCGGAGGTGGAGAACCATTAGGCGGCGACATCACCTCGGGATGGGAAGCCACGTCGGCGCCCGAATCTACACCCAGCTGGACCCCACCACCTCCTGAGGCAGGCTACGGGTACGGGCTCGCGGCTCACGGAGTGGACCATGGCGGAGGTCCCTGCGGCAGCGCCGCTGGCGGGGGATACGATTTCCACCAATTCCCCGACGGCGGAGGGCTCTACCAGCAGCAAGAAGTGAGCAACGTGCCACACTATCCTTCTGCTGCTGGACCGGACGCCCAACAACCGCGAGTCTACGAGGTCTTCGACACCTCGCAGCAGCATCAGCAGCAGCAGCACTACGGTGCACCCCAGGCGGCCTCTTCCTTGTCCTCTCTCTCTCCAGCTCCAGGCGACGCTCTACCTCCAGCCGGCGATTCTCCTCTGCGTCTCTTCATGACACGTGGCGTGTGCCCTCGACGCAAGTCTGAGATTGGTTTTGAGAAAGATGTAGGTTGTTCGATGTCTGACGTGTTCAAGAGTGCGGAGTCTCATGTGTCAATGCCTGGTGTTCCCCGCGTGCCTGTTGTGCATGAACCTTCTGATTATGAGTTCGGTGTCTCGAAGTTTGGTGTGTCTACTCATGATGTACCCCGCGTGGCCGCTGTACTTGAGAGTCCTGATGAAGAGGTCGGCGTTTCGGAGTGTGATGCATCTGTCCCTGCTCCACCAAGTGTGCCTGGAAAGGTAGTCGTAGCCCGTCTCACCCGCCGTCCCACGGTTGAAAACCTTTTTTGTGCCAACCCTGCATGCCGAATCCGATTGGTAGTGAACAATGGCAGGCCGATTCTGGAGCTAGTGGTATGATTTCGAACAAGGTGGATGCAATGTACAACGTACGCCAGTTGACCCCCGGATGAACAATTCATACAGATTGGAGACTCGGCCCTCATCAAGGTTGCCGCTGAAGGGAGCTTGGACCTTAGGTCCCACCAAATCGGAGCCGACGGGAAACAGGAGGATTTAGACGTCACTGTGCCAGAAGTTTTGTTTGTGCCCGGGTGTAGTTTCAACCTTTTCTCGGTATGGNCCTGGAAAGGTAGTCGTAGCCCGTCTCACCCGCCGTCCCACGGTTGAAAACCTTTTTTGTGCCAACCCTGNAGGGTAGTCGTAGCCCGTCTCACCCGCCGTCCCACGGTTGAGAAAGCTTTCTTGTGCCAAGCCTCCATCCCGAAGCCCATCGGTAGCGAACAATGGCAGGCCGATTCTGGTGCCAGTGCGATGATTACTAACAAAGTGGATGCGATGTACAATGTACGCCACTTGGGCCCGGACGAACGATTTATTCAGATTGGAGACTCGGCTCTCATCAAGGTTGCCGCTGTAGGGAGTTTGGACCTTAGGTTCCACCAAATCGGAGCCGACGGGAAACAGGAGGATTTAGACGTCACTGTGCCAGAAGTTTTGTTTGTGCCCGGGTGTAGTTTCAACCTTTTCTCGGTATGGAAGGTGTCTCACAAGCATGAGGTCCGTATCAACCCTAACGGTACGCAAATGATGCATGGAAAACTGCGTTTTTTTCGTGGCGTTTCGAGCGATTCCCTTTCTGCAACCCGCCTTCCCCACAAATCCCTGCCTTCTATGGACGTTGCGCATAAGAGTTCCCGTGAGAGTTCTTTTTCCTTTGTGGCATCGGCTCTTACAGCCGCGATGGATTACGATCTAGAACCCCCCGTGTGACGGGTGCTGTAGCGGAATACTCGGCGAAGGTGATTGATGTGTGGGAGAGTGAAGAGTGTGAACGCGCCATGGCTGTGTTGGGTCCGGGGAAGACGCCTTTCAATGTCGGCAATGCACAAAAGGTTATGGATACTAACACGTTCCACAACCGTGCCAGCCACTTGTCCGAACCCATTTTGAGACTGTCCGCGAAGCAGCACGGGATTACCCTCACGGGCACGATGGACAGCTGCCGATGGTGCTTGCCGGTGCGTGGGACGAGGGCGCCGGTGCCGAAGCAGGGGGGCGGGTACCGCGGCAAGAGGGCGCCGAACGACGTGTTCCACATCGACATCTGCGGCGCGTGCACGGCGACGATCGGTGGCAACCACTACATGCTCTTCGTTGTGGACGCCGCCACGGGATGGATGGTCTGCTACGCCATGCGGCGTAAGTCGGAGGCGCTAGCGGTCGCCAAGCGCATAGTCGTGGATGCCGCCCACAAGACTGTTACCGCGATCAAGTGCATCCGCTGCANGGGGCGGGTACCGCGGCAAGAGGGCGCCGAACGACGTGTTCCACATCGACATCTGCGGCGCGTGCACGGCGACGATCGGTGGCAACCACTACATGCTCTTCGTTGTGGACGCCGCCACGGGATGGATGGTCTGCTACGCCATGCGGCGTAAGTCGGAGGCGCTAGCGGTCGCCAAGCGCATAGTCGTGGATGCCGCCCACAAGACTGTTACCGCGATCAAGTGCATCCGCTGCAACTGCGATGCCCTCTGGACCAGCAGCGACTTCAAGGAGTTCTGTGCCAGCATGGGGATCGCGCTCGAGTACTCCCCTCCCGGCGTGCAGCAGTACAACGGCGTCGTCGAGAGCGCCATCCAGAGGTGCCTCAAGGTGGCCAAGGCATCCCGCCGGGCCGCCCAGGAGGTGCTTGGCCCCGCAGGATTTCCTCGCGTCCGCGGGCTGAGTGTTCGTGGCGATGAGCTCTGGGCGGAGTCCGCAAAAGAAGCCGCGCAANTAAGTCGGAGGCGCTAGCGGTCGCCAAGCGCATAGTCGTGGATGCCGCCCACAAGACTGTTACCGCGATCAAGTGCATCCGCTGCAACTGCGATGCCCTCTGGACCAGCAGCGACTTCAAGGAGTTCTGTGCCAGCATGGGGATCGCGCTCGAGTACTCCCCTCCCGGCGTGCAGCAGTACAACGGCGTCGTCGAGAGCGCCATCCAGAGGTGCCTCAAGGTGGCCAAGGCATCCCGCCGGGCCGCCCAGGAGGTGCTTGGCCCCGCAGGATTTCCTCGCGTCCGCGGGCTGAGTGTTCGTGGCGATGAGCTCTGGGCGGAGTCCGCAAAAGAAGCCGCGCAAAAGCTGAACCAGTCAGCATCTCCTTCCAACCCCGGGGGTGCGTCGCCGCAGGAACTCTACACCGGCAAGGGAGGCCCTTTTCGCTTGATCCCGTTTTTCCAGACGGTTTCATGTGGGAGCGGCCGGCGATGAAAATGGACGACAGGGCAATGCCGTGTTTTTTTCTCAACGCCGGGGACAACCACGCCGACGTCACGGTTAAGGTGCTCAAGGAGAGGACCGGCCACGTATGCTACACCTCCGATGCAGCGTGGGCGGCGCTCCCGCCGTCGAAGGGGGGGGGGTGCAATGCGTCATGAACCCCCTTCGTGGGGACTCTACCCACGCCCCAGCATCTATCCTTTGAGATCGTCGCTTCGCCGCCGCCTGCTGCTGCCGCCGCCGGACCGTCGCCGCCGCCGTCGCCGCCTTCGGGGCCCGCGTTGTGGCCCGCGCCTTCGCCTGCTGCTGCCGCCGCCGGACCGTCGCCGCCGCCGTCGCCGCCTTCGGGGCCCGCGTTGTGGCCCGCGCCTTCGCCTGCTGCTGCCGCCGCCGGACCGTCGCCGCCGCCGTCGCCGCCTTCGGGGCCCGCGTTGTGGCCCGCGCCTTCGCCTGCTGCTGCCGCTCCACCGCTCCCGAGGCCGCCTGCGTCATCTACATCCGCCGTTCGACCGCCGCCTACGGGGTCTGTGCCACTGTCGCCGTCGCCGCCGCTCCCGGACTGGTCGTCCTCATCCATTGAGGCTGAGCAGTCACCCCCGCAACCGCACCAAGACCGGCGGACCAGACAGTCGGCGATCGCACCGGGGTACGCACCTCTCAGGCCCCATNTGCTGCCGCTCCGCCGCTCCCGAGGCCGCCCGCGTCATCGACATCCGCTGTCTCACCGCCGCCCGCTGCTGCCGCCGCCGGACCGTCGCCGCCGCCGCCGCCTTCGGGGCCCGCGTTGTGGCCCGCGCCTTCGCCTGCTGCTGCCGCTCCACCGCTCCCGAGGCCGCCTGCGTCATCTACATCCGCCGTTCGACCGCCGCCTACGGGGTCTGTGCCACTGTCGCCGTCGCCGCCGCTCCCGGACTGGTCGTCCTCATCCATTGAGGCTGAGCAGTCACCCCCGCAACCGCACCAAGACCGGCGGACCAGACAGTCGGCGATCGCACCGGGGTACGCACCTCTCAGGCCCCATGCTTCGAGACTGCTAGGTGAGGGGGGAGATCCGCGGATCCGAGGACGCACGAGAGCGGAAGCGCGCACCATCGCCCAGCAACAGCTCTCTGCCTTATCGGTGGACCGGCAGTTGCCATCACTGCAGGACGATGCCGTCACCACGCCTCTCCCCGCGACCGAGATCACCATGGGGCTGCTGGCTCAAGCAAACGAAGACGTCCTCCTCTCCATGCTGGATGCTCGGCGAGTCATGAACGGCAAGACAATGCTCCGGCCAGGATTGGAGGGGGACGGCGAGAAGAGGAGCCGAGGTNGCGGCGAGAAGGGGGGCGGAGGTGAGCAGCTCGCGAGGAGTGAGGGCGTGGGAGAGAGCACGGGAAAGTTGCCGGAGGTGGACACCGGCGAGGAGGGACGCATGGGGAATGGTTGGTCGATCGGTCCGTCTGAGCGGGGCGTTCCGCTCGGGCTTGTGGCGCGTCTTGCGACGCGCGACGACCTCGACTCAGCTGTGCGCGAGATGGAGCCGCCTTTTTTGCGACCCGACATGCCGCGCTGCTACGCCAAGGACCTCCGAGTACCCTAGACTTTCAAAGAGGCAAAGCAGGGCGAGCACAGCGAGCAGTTCATGGATGCGGCCAAGCGTGAGGTGTTTGGGTTGCTAGAAGCAGAAGCGTTTAAGATTGTTGGACCGTAGCAGCGAATAGACAACTGCATCAAGTCGAAGTTGATTTTTGATTGGAAGGTAGATGCGTTCGGCTTTCCTACGAAGGCCAAGGCTAGACTTGTTGCGAGAGGAGACATGCAGAAGGAGTACAATGACTTTGGTGATTTGTATGCACCTACTGTAGTTTCATCTAGTGTTCGTATGTTGGCAGCTTTGGCGTGTGAGCTTGACTTGGAGTTGTGTCACTTCGATATCGACCAGGCTTCTGTGAGGGCCCCTCTCAAGGAAGATATTTCCATGCGACTGCCGGAAGGATGTGGTGCGTTGTCGGGGAAGATAGTGCGTTGAACAAGAGCCTCTATGGCTTGAGGCAGGCATCTAGAGAGTGGTACGCGTTACTGAAGAAGTGCCTTTTGGCGTTGGGGTTCGAGCAGTGCATGGCTGATTCGTGTGTTTTTCGTTTAGTCGAAGGGGGGGAAGTAGTGTTGCTTCTCGTAGTACACGTAGACGATATTTTTGCAGTGGGGACGAAGGAGAGATGTGATGAATTCGGGAAGGACCTGGGAGAGTACGTGCCAGTGAAGTCTCTAGGGGAGTTGAAGTGGTACGCCGATTGCTATTACGAGAGGGACAGAGAGGCAGGTAGGCTGACGATTTCACAGCAGACATACACCGAAGACTTGGGAGAGAGATATGGTGTCGAGTGGGGGGGGGGGGGCATTCCTTTGCCCACCACCTGGAGACTTTGGGACTTCGACTTGGACGAGCCGAGCGTAGGGTACCTTTTTCGCGCGCTGGTTCGCTGTTGTGGATTGCCTTGTTGACTAGGCCGGATATCGCGAATCCGGTGAGAGCAGTGGTGAGGTACTGTAGTGCACCGAAGTTGATCCACTGGAAGGCTGCACTTAGCATTTTAGGATATGCAGTTAGGACTAGTTCTTTGGGGATTTCCTTTCAGAGGGGGACGGTTTCGAGATTTTCTTTGATTGCGTTTGTCGATACGGATTACGCTTCACGTGCGGCAGACCGTAGATCGGTTTCGGGAGGGGCAGTGATCTGTGCAGAAGGGGCGATTGCATGGTTCTCCAAGACTCACAAGTGTGTGACTTTGTCTACCACGCAGGCAGAATACGTGGCGATGGCGGACATGGTGAAGGAGATTTTGTTTTGGAGGCAGGATTGGCGTTTCGTGTTGCCTAAGGAGTTATGGCCGTACATTCCCCTGTATGAGGATAACGAAGGGGCTATCCAGATCGCAAAACACCCGATCTCGAATTCCAACTCGAAGCACATCGACGTGCGGCATCACTTCCTCAGGCAGCTCGTAGATGAGAAGGCGGTAGAGATCATCCACGTAGCGTCGAAGTATCGGCATGCCGACTTCCTCATGAAGGCGCTACCTGAGAAAGAGTTTGTTTCCCACCGGGACTACGTGATGAACTTGAAGTGAATAGTCCGGGAGATCTTTTTCGTCTTCGAGTTTTTTGTCGTTTGTTTTTTTCGATTTTTGGTTTTTGTGTTGATTTGTTTTATTTACTGAGAAATCGAGATCAAGATTGACCAGTGCAAATTATCGCAAGTATTCCTGGTTTAATGGTTGGCAATAATGCAAACCGATAGGAATTCTGACGAATGCTTCTGGTTGAAGGGTCTTAAGTGTTGTGACAAGAATGCAGTTTAAGATGAAGGGAATGTCTTGCACTAAATTTTGTTTCGGTCAGGTATGTGGTATGGGAGGATGATGAGGATAGCATATGAAAGTCCGGGTGTGATCTTGTCAATGCAGCGAGTAGGGGGGCTGATAGACGTACTCACAGCATCGACAGATTATTGCAAGCAAGAAATTTCCGAGCAGATGGAGCGGGGAGTTTGGGGGTTCAGCAGTTGCTTTGGATTAGATTTTGGTGGTACCAACTTTGCCGCATATTTCAGGATTGAGGGGAGGGGTATGTGTGTGTCTACAACGGATATGGTGATTGTTGGTGTTCTTGTTGTTGCTCACATTAGCTCTATAGTCCACAAAAATGGGGAGCCCGTGGTCTCAAAACCCGGCACATACGACGCCGCGAGAAAACAAAAAAACGAAAATAGGGTACATACCACTCGGAAAAAGAAAACAAAAAATGATAGAAAGAAAAGAACAGTTATCGCACCGACCGTTCGAGAAAAGAGCCCTCGGAAACCGATCAAAATAAAAAAAAATAAAATAAAGGAGGACGCTTCCCACACCCGCCCAAAGAAAAAGTCAAAGGGTAACGTACCAGCACCAGGCACAACGCACCAGGGCATGGGAGTAACGGAGCAAACAGGACAAAGAGGCGGCAGATGGGCAGACAGCCAGACGTACAAAAAACAAAGGCAACAGCAAAGCGAGATCAAGGTACCCAACACAGCAGAGTACCCTGCGTGAGATCATGAAAAAGAAACACAGCACAGAGGCCGAAGGCAATACAAAGGACATACATAAAGGAGTATAGCATACNTCGTGATCTCCCGGTCGGCCTTCCCGTCCGCGGAGATGGTACGTCCGAGGTACACAAACCGATCTGTCTGCTTGTACGTCTGGCCGGCGGCGTTGACCGTGAACGGGCGTTCCTCAATCCCTTTCGGCAGCATGCACATGATCTCCGTCTTTGGCTCCGACACCATCAGTCCGAACAGGCCGGCCACGCGCACGATGACCGACATCATCTTCTCGAGACTCTCCGGCGAGCGCGAGCGATGGCCGCGTCGTCAGCGTAGAGCATGGCCCACAGGGCCTGCCTCCGCGTCCGTCGCCATCGTCGTCTTCTTCCCCACCGACCTGCCCTTCTTGCCCGTGTACTCCACTCCACTTGTGTCCCGATCTTGACCATGTTCGCCGTCACCTTGGGGTCCTTGTCGAACTCGGCCACGGCAACCATGAGCATCGCGGCAAAGAACAAGTTGAACAGCAGCGGGGCCAGGTTGCATCCCTGTCGGAGGCCTTGGCCCACGTCGAACCATTCCGAGTACTGCCCGTCGTCCGTTCGGACGCGCGCCCTCATGCCCTCGTGGAAGTGGCGAATGACCGCCAGCATCTTCGGGGGCACGCCGAAGCGTCGGAGCACGTCCCACAGTAGGTCTCGTTCCACCGAATCGTATGCCTTGGTGAGGTCGACGAAGCACGCGAACACCGCAGTACTCTTCTTCCTCGCGAGCTCATGGAGCCGCTGGATGGCGAACAGCATGTCGAGCGTCGACGGGTGTGGGCAGAAACCACTCTGCTCCTCCGGGAGGATGCCCTCTCGCTCGCAGTAGTGGCTCAGTCGTGTGTTGTGGCTCCTCACTTGTTTTTGTTTCTCCTTTTTCCTCCTCCTTCCTGTGTACAATCAAGTCCTTTTTCCCCGGCGATCACGCTACCAAGGCTATCACGCCACGACTTCCACGCCAATCCTGGCTATCACGCCACCGGCTATCACTCCTTCCGGACATCCACGTCCTTACTTATACCTTTACACCACGACTAGCACGCCACCAGGCTTTCACGCCACATCCAGAGATACCATACCCGAGCTATCACGCTCCATCCCAAAGTAGAAGGCTGTCACGCCATCGTATAGCTCCTACACCGTACCGTTTGCGGCTACCGCGCCGCTGGCTCTTTTATTTCCCAACCAAGGGACCCCGCGCGCCAAGGCACCGACGCACAAGGCTACTCAACATGCGGTACTGCCATCTAGGGGGCGAATTGACGGCTAGTACTCCACTCTTACAGCAGTAGTGTCTCGTGATGAAATCCACCCACGGAAAGACTTGTGTCCTCTGCACATAGGGCAATCGGTACAGATATGAGAATAAGAACCCCGATTACTACAGGTGAAATGCCTGCTCCAAATAAGAACTCGGAAAATGAGAACACTTTATTATTTTTATTGGACTCTGTCGTCTGCCCCTCTGGCCCCTATCCTCAACTTCTACTGGCTAGACGACCCAACCGGGGTCACATAGGAGGGGGGGGCTGGACCCCCTCCTACGGTTCCTGCCTGAGGTATTTTTATCGCGAGAAGGGTACAGCAATCTCTTCCCTCGCGACTCACGAAGTCGATTATGGTTTACTAACAACGAGCTTTGCAGCGCGACGCTTTCATCCTAGACCAGGATTTATTTAGTGAGGAAAAACTCACTCTGCCGGGACTCCAACCCATGACCTGGCCCTTAGCAGGCTGCGAGGTTACCCACTAGACCACCGGGGCGACCATGTGCTCAGTTGGATGCAACCAATAAGCGTCAAGCCTTACGCTAAACAAGCGGTTCTTACGTGGTGGCGCGTTCTGTAGGCACGTTATTTATCGAACAGACATTGACATGGAATGCAGTTTCGGATTGACTGCAATTGTTCTGAAAACCTGGGGATCACCAGGGGAGAGAAATTTTAATTACATGTAGGTTTCTATTGCCGTATTATTTAGCATACTAGATTTTTCGGGGCAAATTATTTTTGGTTCCGCCGCACCCGAATCGAAAGGAGTCATGCTTACAGTACAGTATCTACCTTTGACTCTTTTCAAGATAGAGAGATGGATTCGTTGGGTCATACAAAAAAGAACAACTCTGGGGTGACGTTCAGTTTGGAGATTCGGAGTACTTCAGGGCACACGCTCCCGCAAGGCACGGATCGATCGGCGTCACGTTGCTCGATACCTTCAGGCGGCAGCCCAAGGCAAACAACAAACAACCCTATTCCGCACAGATTGGCACCTCCACACGCCAAGTGGCACACACGGGAAGCAAGCTCATTTGTTTACCCAGGTCTGGCGCTTTTCGCCTCAAACGTTCTCGAGTCGTCTCCCGGACTACCCCTCTCGAGCGGTATGTCGAACCGATCTTCCCCCGGACGCCGTAGCCTTTGCGCAGCCCCCTGCGGCCCTGCGGGCCTACACCAGTTCAGTAGTGTGGAAAGTCACGCTTCCTGGGAACTCGCTCTTGCCGATCTCGCAATAACCCAGCTTCAACACGCACACAGCCGGAGTTCAGCCGCAATTTTTTTCTGCGGTGTTCTGCCATCACTCGGGTCTCCCATACTTTATACAGTTTTGCTGAACCGCCCATGGGACACCCGTGGGCAGCCCATGGGCGGCCAATGAGTGCCTTTCAACCGGAACCAGTGTGTAGTACTCCAAAGCACTAGATTTCTGCTTTGTGGAACGGGTATTTTTAAATCGGCTACAAAACGCGACGAATTTTTGTTCACCAATCCGGGGTTGTTCAATCTACCCAATGCATGCGTTTTTTTCTGGTTTCCGATGGTAATGGGCCTGTATATATTTCCCTAACGCCAACCCTAATATTAACCTAACCCCAAACCCATACGAAACGTGCTAGGTAGGCTCTGGGTGGCTAAGTTCTAGAGTCATGTGTTGATGGCTAAGCTCTAGGTTGATATGCCGGTGGCGAGTTCTAGGTTGTCCACGATGGGCATCACTTCGTGGGCAGTTCATGGGCTGGGGCCCGCCCATGGGCAGCTCATGGGCCGTCCATGGGCCTGGGCTGCCCATGGGGACCCATGAGCGGTTTAACTGCCAGTAGCGTGGGAGATTGGGAAAGGTTGACCAAGCTCGTATTGACTACGTATGAAGTGTGTTTGGGTTACCAATCAAGAAATGTAGAAAGTGTGTTGTTGGAACAATGTATGCTGCCTACCGTGTCTGGTTGCGACGGGTCCCGACCTAAGATGGCACCCCCCTCAGGGCATGGATTTTACAAGAAAATAAATGACTTCGTAGATCTGAAACGGCCGAAGAGGATGTACGTGACAAAAACAATTCCACCAAGCACACGTTGCACATCAGCGAAAGCGTTTCGCCTTACGGTATCTCCCGTTGTACCGGGAGTGGGAGTGGGCCTTATGAATTGCAAATTGACGGTCAAACCAATAGCCTACTACAAGCGTTCTCCTCGTCCACTCTTCGCGGTGCTTTCGCCGATGGAGTGCGATACTCTCCAACTAACACTTTGCGTTGTGTAGTTCAGGTGGATGAGGGCCACGGAGAGGAACGCGAGGCGTCACACAACTCACAGATATTTCAGCGCATCAAAACCGTCGAAAAGTCCCACGGGGAGCGAAGGAGCTGGTGATCATGTAAATAGCTTATTTGAACCGCACCGAGCAGACGCGAAACGGGGAGTGACGATGGTGCGGGATTCAGAAAAAGTGATCATGAACGACAACATATTGTATGTCGTCATGGGGCACGCTACAAAGCTGGTGCAACACCGAGAGCACATGGCCCGTGATCACCAAGCACGCGTCCAGCGAATTCCGATACGATGGGTTTATCCAGTGCCCGGGTACCCGGGCGTGGAAGGCACGAGACCTTCACATGGGATTTAGCTCGAACCCGGTATTCTGCAAATGGGCATCCACTTGGACCTGCGTTCGTCCTGTTGCACGTGGTGTTGGGTTTTATTTGTTTGAGGCCGAAATTCTGCGAGCGGCATTTAATGAGAACATCCCACCGTCTCACCCCCCGCTCTCATATCTATCTTTTCTCTCACATGTAGGTAATAATGTCTCGTCCAGCCGAGTCGAAGCATGCCTGGATATCGGGTATGTCAGCATCAACCAGATCTTCACACGAGTTGCTCGCGGAAGATGACCACGTGAACGAACTGTTGGGCGAGAGACAGCAAGGTAATGCATAAAGTTGAGGGAGATGCAGAGACAGAGAAGAACGACGGGCGAAGAGACACAGGGACAACCCACAACGTCAGGACAAGCCGTTTCCCAACGCTTTCACTTCGCAGATATTGACCTAGGAGGCAACAGTCATTGGGGTCCCGGGCAAGAATACTAGACGACCCACAAACACTTAACCACAAATCCGACAACAGGTACCTCTCGGCATGTCAAAAAACGTATAGCTAACCAAGGCCCACGCAATCAAGTTCTCCTTTAAGCATGAATGAGGACAGACCCTCCTCAACGATACTCCTCTCTACCCAAGTCTGAGAATGGCGGTTGGCTCATACCGCAAGCACCAGACCCCAGCTTCACGTAGTGTATGCGATTCTCAACAAGCCTGGCGTCGAGTGGTTCTCACCCAGGAGCGCGTCTGCAAGCAACGTTGGGAGGGCAGCCACATATAGCGGAACCCTGGGCTTCTGGTAAGGCAGCCAACTCGGCGGCACGAGTGAACATCTAGCCTATGATAGCTTCGATAGTTTCGAAACGATACTCCTTCCCTGCCTAGGGAAAACGAGCCGGAACTTACATTTGGGTCGTGCCGGGCGCACACCTATAATTCACGCTGTCGTTGGCGTCGAGGCAAGGATTCAGACCTGAAAATAAACGTGCAGCGCTGTCAAAAAATGGAGCGGCGCTGTGGATGAGAACCATGATCAGAAACGCACCCCGCTAACATCGTGGAGCCGGCGGGCGGCGGGTGCCGTGACAGAATGGACAAATTGGAATTGTGGTTGTCTCCACGCATTCGTCCTTCGGCTCAATATGGAGCCTGGGATTCACAAGGCCCGTCCAATATGAAAGGCCCATTATGAGCTATGCACGCAAGTACGAGCAAGCTGTTTCGAGGTGAACGGGCGCACTAGCAAAACATATTCCATCGCATCACATAGCCGCAGCAGCCGTAACATTGCCGTGTTGGCGTATGGATTGAGGCCGTGCTACTGCGACGACTCTGGCAGCAGGCATACAACGATTCGGTGTCGTGTGCAATAGACTGGAGATTACTGGTGCTGTTTACTTGCTTGGACGACGTGTCAGGCGTCGAACATCCGGGGAGTTTGATGAAGTTTTGATGGATTCCACGACAACAAACACGAGCGTCGTTGCAGATCTTTGCTATCAGGTGAGGCAATGCCTGTCGGCGTATATTTGTCAAAGTTTTGACTGCTGTTTAAACATCCGTCGTACAGCACGGGTGCCCTGCGCCTTCTTTTCCACCAAATGGGGTCAAGCAGACATTTGGGTGCGCGTTTGTTGAGCCCCGCACCCACTCATTCTTCATGTCACTCACCATTTGCCCCAGAAATGACGAGTAGGGCCGTCGGCAGAATTTGTGCCAGGACTAGGACCTCGAAGGGGACGGTTTCTGGCAAATATCAAGGTGCGAAGTGGGATTGGCTCTGGATGATCAGATTTTCAAGTCATGCATTTTGATCAGCCCCGTCTGAAGGTGTTTTTGCTATCTGCAGACATGCAATACCTGAGGATTCTTCCGCGTGTTTCCTACACTTTCTACAGTGTTAGTGAATGGCCGGTACGTTTTGCCCATGGGGAATGCCCACAGGCAAGTCCATGGGCAGCCCATGGGCAGCCCGTGGGCAGCCAATGAGTGCCCTTCAACCGAAACCACCTTACTCCTGAACAATAGATTATCTGCTTTGGAGCGAATATATTGACGACGAGAAACCCTAACGCTAACCCTAACGCGAACTTGAAGCCCACAATATACGTGCTAGGTTGGCGCTTGATGGCTAAGTTCTAGATTGATGTGCCTACGGCAACGTTCTAGGTTATGTCGGTGGCGAATTCTAGGTTCAAGTGCCCACGGTGGGCACTTCGTGGGCAGTTCATGGGCTGCCCATGGACCCACCCACGGGTATTAGTGCGGGAGAATTGTCTTCCGCGGGGAATCTACACGGTATTGTAGTTGGCCTCCTGAATAGTTACCATTACTGTGGTGTGCGTGTTCATATTCAATATTAGCATCGGCTGCACTACACAATCCGCTGACCAATGAAACAGACGTTAGTCTCAGCGTTTGTGTTCTTCGACAATGCATCAGGCGCTAGTGACCACCCTCTCAGCGTGCACACAGTGGGTTACCGTTTCGTCACGGATAAACTCCTCCCCTTCTGCCCACCATCACGTTCCTTCCTAGCGGGTCCAGGTAATACACGTACACCTGTTTGTACCTATCGATGCATACCTAAACATGCTTGTTCCGACGTCTTCTACCCCGCCAGCTCTCGGCGCTGCTCGGCAGATCTCTCAACATTTTGTTTGGCACAAATTTGAATTCATTGAAGCACCTCACAAGTGATCACTGGGCCAAGCCACCATTGGCACTCTATTGTAGCAGAGCGGACAAAACAGGATCGAAGGGATTGCGTCGACATGTTGACAACGGCGTGAGGGATAAATGCGTACGCGTGCATCCCATCCACACTCTTTTGTCGGTCTGTATTTTTTCGGCTGTCTTCGGGGTATCTATGTTCGTGTGCAGCACATAAACCGGCAGTTGCCGTTAAAATGAGTACCACATATGTCGGTGAAGTCTGCACTGCGGTACACATAGTCTGTAGTCTATGTAAAGTAGTTGGTTGTAGATGTAGATATGCTACCGCTGTGGACTGGATCCCACACCAACCCAACGTAATCTATTCTACACAACCACATACATTAGAACGTTTCCCGTAAACACCAACAACCTCTAGTACCTACAAATGTCCATACCATGAGCACACGACCCATCAACCTTGAACTTTTCCACACACAGCCACGCCAGCTGTACCGTGTGGCTTCGTACCATTCCTCTACAACCGGACAGCTCCTTTCTCGATCGATGTTGTTCGTGGTATTCTACCGGCCACGGTCGAAAACAAGTGCCGATCGGCCCGACCTACCGTAGTCCCAACTCCTCACCACAGGGTCGAGTGGACTTGGACGAGTAATCAGGGCCAACGGGGGGTGTTGTTACAAAAAATATATCTGTAATCTGGGCGCTCTCGGAGGGTTTTCGAATGTAAGGACGAAGAATGACCTGTGTGGGATTGGATTTTGATCAAACGAAACATTCGAACGACTTGAAAAATTGTTTCTTTTCTTTTCTCCGTAGTTTTCTCTGAAAGCTACACTCCGAGGAAAATGCCTCTTGTATCTCTGGAATGCATACCAGTACCGTACTGCTGTATCACATAGGAGGCGCTTCCCGCCAAAACCGGAACCTCACCATGAGGTTGAAGATTTTGGGAAGTTCTCTGACCTGAACTGTTGTACTTCTCGGGGTAGTTTTTAGAATATTACACACGCATTCACTGAATTGAGTACCCGCTCGAGAAATCCTCCCGTTGGAGGAACGTGTTCTGCTGTGATAGCATGCAACAGTAGTGGGGAAAGGGGGAAAAGGACCTGCTGGAAACCGCTGCGGCGTATTAAGAACCCCATTCCCGACTCTGCCGAGCGGCAACTTTCAAAAAGAGAACCAATAATAATTCGGAAATTCGCCAGGCCAAAGCGCCAACGGCTGGCACAAAATATGCTTTTTCATCTGCACTACAAATTCCTCGGGAAAATCAGAGAAGCCTTGGCTCATTGTGGTGGTACCCTTGTCTCTGCCCGTCAACACAAGAGCGCGAAATCTTGTCGTGTTGAACTGACGTCGGACCTGAGCGATGGATCGAGAAAACGTGGGTGCAGCTCGTACATCAAGTACCCACGCAGCAGGAAAAGATGTCGCGACTGGGGAGCCGAAGAGAGGTTTGCTGCTGCCTAGCAACCATCCCACTCCAGCGGCCATGCCCCACATCGATGCGAGGCCGAAGTCCCACCTTCCCGAGAAAAGAGGCCGCGGGAGTGTCAACATCGTGCTGCGGCATCCGCGGAGGGCGCGCCTCCCGACAAGCGCGGCGGAGCACACCTTGGCGCCGGCAGGCCGAAGGGAAGCTACGGGAAGATAACGCTTCGCTCGGTCGTGCAAGGCTCGACAACACAGGGATGTACGGGGTGACACGGTAACTTGATTGTTTGTTTGCTTTCGAGTAGGTGTCGTTTTTTGCCTGATGTGCCTTCTTGATTGAGGTCTCGAGCCCCAAACTCTACGCTCGTTGTTTACAACCATGTTGCACAACCATGTTGCAGTATTTTCTGGGGGGGGGGGCGTGGCACAGCGTCGGTACGCCCGTACCGGGGTGAATACACCCCGGCCTGTTGAGGCATAAGGAGAATCATGTGAGTCTTTGATTGTTTTTTTTTTTTTTTCCTTTTGCTTGGTCTCACGTGTCATGTGGGAGCGATGGGTTCTTGTCTTCTTGTGTCGATTCCCCATTTCTCCATCCGAAAGAACATACTGCTGTAGAGTGTACGGCATGTCACCTGCTGCAAAGCCTGACTGCTTAGGGATTGGGGACCTTCTTTTTTTGTGTATCGCGTTCGTGTGGTGTTTTCCGGTCCGTTATCTTCTCTTTGTGGTTTTTCGGTATGTACACAAACTATATGTATCATGCACCATCCGCATCATCAGTTGTGTAAGTACGGAAGGAGACAGCGAGCAGAGATCAAACGGTTCAAGGTGTAAAAACAACAACGTTGCGCAAGTGAGCGTGGACAAGGCAATATCATCTCGCGACCGATGATGATGCAGTGGACGCGACGCCCAGAGGACACGCCCGAAACCGGCAACAACCAACCCAAGACATAACCAACCCCATCCACATTGCTTTGGCATCAGGTCTGGCGAAGTCACCCAGTTCAAGGGTCCTCTGCATTCGGATGCATTCAAGGTTGCTCCCGGGTGTTTTTTTGCTCTCGGCGAGGATCCGTGTGTAGTGACCTACTCTGTCTTACCATCTAACCATGGCCCGCTGTGTGAGGTGCCCCACTCGGGATACCAAGTCGGTCTGGCCTCATGGCGCACCGTGTGTGAAGGTGTGATGACCGTTCTTTGTGTGAACATGAAGCGAGTACGGGGCCGTAGCTTCATTGCGACATCATCTGGGTCCCGTCCGTATCACACACCTCCCGAGCCCGTGAGAAAGTGCGAAAATAGACAGGAATCGATTTGTACGTGTGCGTGCCTGGCGCTACAGGAGTTTTCACACAACAGAACTAGTACGTCCTGATCATCGATGCATCAACCTCCTGGTGCGTGGAACGGGAGGTATACGTGTTAGAGTTTGTGACCGCCGCTTGGGTGGTGTTGTCAACGCTTGGTATAAATGGTGTCGTGGCCTCTATCCAGCTCTTCCTTCCCCTCCCCTGCACAAAGGGCAGACAATAGATGCATTGTTGAACGTAAGCCGACGAATATCGTCGGCGTTGCTTGTCCCAAGCTGGCTTTGTTTTCCTTGTCATTGTTTCAGGCTTGAGAGCAGAAGCGGGGACGGACTCCTCATGTACGCATGCTTTAGGCAGTGGCATTTCGATAATCGCGAAAAATGATTACACCACTGTGCACTGTACCGAGCGAAAAGAGGTTTGAAAACAGCCTTTTAGCACGTACTCTACACTATACAGTACTTGGTCCTGGTACACCACACCTGGTGTGATGCAGAAACTAGATGCCACGATGCAAGTGTTTGTCACTCATTTAAACAGATGAGTTTTTTTATAGGGGAAATTGTTGGTTTTAGGTTTTGGGACGCAATTATTGCCGTGGTCATACGCCAATGTGAACACAGAGCATCTGACACGCAACGTAAATCAAGGACATGAACGTAAAGGTTAACTTTCGAAAGTGGCTCGACGACACGCTTGCTCGTTTCACAAACCCGATAGTGTGGTGCGGGTTCTCTGAGGCATTTTGGGGCTTGAGCGATGAAACCCTGAGCGGAGTACACCTGGAAGGGTGTGGCGAGGTGAGCTTCTTCATTTCGGAAAGGGGTGGCGGTGAATCTCCGATCTCCACTTTTCCGTGACTTGATTTCGTACTCATATCCTGGGAACTAATATTTTTGCAGCTGGGTATTGATTGCCACGACACCTGGGAATCCCATCCTTATGCATGGCACAACTGCGGCGCTTGCAGCAAAATCTGCACATCCTCACTGTGCTTACACCTCCAGAGAACACGTATCAATCCCCCCTCCTCGGCTGCCTCACAAGCAACGACCTCCTACATCGCAGACCCTACTGCCGGCAATCAACAATTCGTCTTGGCCGGCCAACATTCGACACTGCAAACATGAGCACAAAGCACAGCCCAGCCTTTTCACGCAATCCGACCAAACGATGACCAGCTTCCCTCGCCTCCATACGCCTACATCTGGAAAAATCTCGTCTTGTTGTTCGCCCAACCTTGACGGCCTGACCAAATCACGGTGTCAAAGGCTCCAAGTGTCTACTTGCAGAAGAAACAGACCCCATGGGAAGGGAAGTTGAAAGGGGCCTAGCGTGGCACTCTCCACCGCCGTTTTGACCGTGTATCCTGACGTACAACTCCCGTACGACTTGACCCGTGATTAGAACTCGTCTTGATGGGCCCATACCTTGACGGTCCTGTCGAACGAGCAGGTCGCTATCTTCCTCTCATCAGGTGAGACGTCGCAGCCCGTCACCTGTTACATACAGAGTGCATACAGGCAGAGTTGTTCGTGTTCAATACGGTGGCCAACAACCAAAAGCAAAATCACACGCGGTGGGCGCACATCGCGCGCCGAAAGCAATCAGCGATCGACGGACACAGCGTCGTCCCATGCAAACAAAAACAACTGAGAGAGCAGACACTAAATGTTAATAAACGGACACGGTATGTCTACCCCCCGACAGCAGTAGCAGTAACGGTCTCCACAATAATCAACCAGCGTGATAATCTGACAAAAAGAGACACCTCAGGACCAGATTGCAAGGATATTCCAGGATTCGCATGCCAAGCTCCTGACATGACCACTCGCGATCATGTACGCCTTGTCAAACCCGTCTTGCCACCAAGTGTGATACTTTCGTCACCATCAATGTGGAAATAACTTTTTCGCTTTTAAGGATGAACGCACAGGAACGACGGGCGAAGGCGCTCTGATATTCTCCCCCTGCTTGACGCTAGGTTATCCACAAGACCAGTGAAATCCAGGCTAGAGCCCACAAGCAACAAACTCAACTAACGGCACCCGTGTGATGTTCGCCATCTAGCGTTGCCCCACTCATGGCCATATACCGTGGCAGGCAGGAGCGACCAGTACTCCGGTTGCAGTGGCAGTGACTTCTGCATACCACGTCGCATTCGTAGCACTGCCAACAACCTCCACCATTCAGAATGCCGCTTGCTTCAGAACCAATCATCAATCGTTCAACTTCCGGATAAAAAGTGTTGTGCCTGCCTGTTCTTGTTTCCTCCCATACGCTACTGTTGCTCCATCTTTCCAACCGCAGTTCGGCCTTGTCGCTCCAACTGACAAAACCTCCGCCCCAGGGTCACACGGACCACATTCCCTCTTTATCTGCGAGTGCTGCCCTTAAAATCCACTTCTAAGAGCTTTTCCTACATCTTAAACAGGGCAGCACCCCCATGTATTCAAGACACTTGCCTTGCCCTCGTGCCCGGACAGCGTGCGCAGGAGTGACCAGTCCCTAGTGGACCAGACCTTGGCGGTGCTGTCGAAGGACGCCGACACTAGCACCTCCCCTGAAGTGCGGCTATACCTATCATTCGTGATTCGAGAGTGCGTGGCATCCGAGAAATGTTGTTGTTGGTGTTGTTGTTGCCTTCACATTTAAACCCATCCGAGAATGCGGATGCACAAAAAACGATAATGTGGGCGAAAATCAAGGTCCTAAAGCCAACGGCCAGATACTTCAAACCAAACATCTCGACAAACTTGGAATCCGATAGATAAAAACGAAAATGTATTCGTCAACCCCACCAAGAAATGAGACGGCCAGATACTTCAAACCAAACATCTCGACAAACTTGGAATCCGATAGATAAAAACGAAAATGTATTCGTCAACCCCACCAAGAAATGAGACGGCCAGATACTTCAAACCAAACATCTCGACAAACTTGGAATCCGATAGATAAAAACGAAAATGTATTCGTCAACCCCACCAAGAAATGAGACGGCCAGATACTTCAAACCAAACATCTCGACAAACTTGGAATCCGATAGAAAAAACGAAATTGTATTCGTCAACCCCACCAAGAAATGAGGCTGCTTGTCGCTCTTACCGTACGTCCGCAACCAAGGCGCTGTGGGCCGGCAGGGTGTAGCAGCAGCGTTGCTTCCGAATATCCCACACCCGGACCTGTGATGGTTTTCACGGCACACAAGCACACGGGGAAGCACACACACGCAGCCGTGAGTGTGGAACCAACCCTCACCACGCGAGACCGTGAATCGGCTCCGGAACATCCCGTAGGCGACATGACACAAGATACCACACCCGCTGCACCGATTTTCAACGGGTCGGGTACCCCCACGACGAAAACGACGCAAAAGACTAGCGATACGTTTTCGGAACGCTCTCGACGAGCCGGTTCCAATCGACGCCACCACTACTTGTTGCTGTGGAGTAATCGAGCCTTGAAAGTTGGTCCGGGGGGTGTGATGTCTTACGTCACCTACGGTGCACACAGCACGATTGGCAACGACAACCACCACTACCGCCAAAAAACACACGTTTGGCCACAACGCACAACACTACGGCCTGGCGGCGGGGGAACTACTCCGTAAATTCGGAGTGTGGTGGTAGGTTCTGGACCATCGTATCGCAGTGTGGAAGCAGTCCGCTGAGTGAAAAAGTCTGGTTTTCGCCACTCTGTGGGTGATACTTTCACAACGTTTGTACACCCCGCCTTCGTCCACCCTTCCATATCCACCTCCCACGTGTAACCTCTCCCCCCCCATCTGAACAAGTCAATCTCGTTCCCTTACAACCTTCTGTCTGTCTGCCCAATCTCTCTGCCTCGCTCTCTGTCTCCTGTCCTTCTGACGGTCTGTCTGTCCACCTCTTGCCCTCCCCCCCCCCCCCCCCCCCCCCCCCCCCCCCCCCCCCCCCCC